GAGAGTGCGTAATTTATTATAAAAAGTTAAGATTCCTCTCATAAAAGACTAAACCCTTTGATATCTTTTTAAAAAATATATAATTTTCTTTACAAAAAATTTTATGGGATAATTAGGAAAATATTAGATTTAGAGATCAATTTCACTCACTCAATGAATTTTTTTATTTCATATTGAAAATTTCATAGTGTTTTTTATTAACATTTAATATAATATGTCATTGTTAAATTGATTTTTGAAGAATTTTTTTTTGAGAAATGCCATTTTTGAAATGTCACTTTTCATTATCTATAACTCATATTTTTTCATTTTCAAATATTTTTATGTTTAAAAACGTTTCTTTAGGAAAAATATATATATATGGGTTTTATAAAGTTTGGAATATTCTGTCACAAAACATAATACAATATCTTTTAAAAAATTTGGTAAATCTTTATTATAAAAATATTTATGTCCTCAAACTTTATTTGTGACAAAAATAATTATAATAAACTTTAATCTGAAAAACAAAAATTATACTATCTAAAAGGAACTCTTTGAAGCTCCTTAAGCTAGCCACATCATCGAAAACAAAAGCTTCTATAATGATGCCACGTAAGCAAGCAACTCTCCTTAATTCTCATTATCTTCTAAAACTCGCGAAACTTTGTATATACTAAATATTGGCCATCATCATTAACATAAGGCCCACGAACTAATGCTTAGTCTAGATTAATCGCTTCGTGTCGCTTCATATGCAAAGTCTCTCTGATTTTTAAATGACGCAAATCAATATCTCTACCTTCAAACCTTTACACTTCTGTCATTAAGCTTATGTTGATCGTGGATATAAAGATGGATCGTGCGATGAAGAGGAAGAACCTAACGCATGCTCTCTGAAAAAACAGAGAGAGAAAGATATTGATCGAGCTGGTGGAGGGTTACGTGAGYCGATATAGGGTCTAGGAAACACTCAAGGAGGTCGACGACGTGCATTTGCAGCTCTTGGTCCGGTAATCAACACAAGGTTCACTCTTTTTCCTAATCGTCTAAATCAAATTTGGTCTATATTTTTTCTCCCTTTAGGTTTTTGGCATCAATATGGTTCTTAAACAGATAACATTGGTATGTTCTTGCTAGGAAAGTAGAGTAAAGATAAGAATTTGATATCTCTAACCCTGATTTTTGTTTGGTTTGATAGTTAATTCATGTCTAACCAAAWGCTTTGGATTTTCATGTTTGCCTTCTCATATGTAGTGATTTGATGGAGATACTTTGGGAAACTGGTGTTGGGTACTACGAAGATCATAGAGGATAAGATGAAGACGGTCCTCCAGTTCAATCTTATGCATCCAAGAACTGGAACGAGAAACTGGTGACATATGTGTTGAAAACAGGAACGAGTGTAGGAGTGAAGAAGATGATGAAAAATTGTTAGAGATTTCATTGGGAGAGAGAAAGTGGAGAAAGCGGTAAGGGAAGTGATGGTTGAAGACGAGAGGTGAAAGAAGGAGGATCTTCAGATGTAGTTGTTGACTAGGTTGATGGAAGAGCTCAAGTTAGTTAAAATGCAAAATGAGAAGGAATAAAGAAGTTGTATTTATTATTGTGTTTGTTTGAGTTATGTTCTTGAAATAATTGTTCTGTTGATTGTTGATTCTATGTGGCATGTTTTCCTTCATTTGAAAGTATTTTAAAAGTACTGTCATATAGTTTTGTTATCTAAAAATGGTGAGTGTACAAATTCTATGTGTGCATTCAAATATATTGTGATTTTCCCAGACTATGTGTTGAACTAAAAGTCTAAAAGCAAAGCCAAAGTGTTTCATAGTTTCATACAATATAGAGTTTGCATTTTAAAAGTAAAACATTATGTATAGTGATTTGGTTCCACTTTTAGTAATGAATGAGAGAGAAGCTTGAAAACAAAGGGATACGAGAGAGACATCAACAACAAGTGAACGGTTTTGAATTTGCACTCATTGCGGACAACGATGGACCACTTGCTCTTGCTCGGAATATGGAGTGATGCTCATTGTAAAGAGAGACTACTTATACATGGGCATAAAGACATAAACATCTAATTGGTTCCTCAATATTTATGACCTAATTAAGCTCAAAAAAAAAATTATATATATATAGATTTATGACCAATAGTTCCTTAATCATATTGGATCTAAAAGTTCAAAACTGAATGAGTTAATGTTGAAAATTCTCAAACTTTTCGATGTACGTTCATAGTAATATATACATGAAAGTACGAGTTGTTGTTTGTAAGAAGGTAATCCAAATGAATTTGGATGTGAAATATAAAATTTCACTGTTTTTAGTTATTAAAGATATCATAAAAGTAAAACTACAATTAAAAAAAAAATTATATAACACAAAATTAATAAATTAACAAAACATAAAACAAATTACACTTAAAAAACTCAATCAAAATTAATTTCTAATTCCTAACCAAACTTAAAATGTCACATAAGTTTTATGCATATTTTCAGTGGTTCATCGCTAATTTGGAGACTCTTTTACTTTGTTCTTCCTAAACCATTGATAAATTAAAATAAAAATCAAGGAAAAAATAATTTGCATAAACATATACCAAAAATGATATGAAATTTAATTTAAATTTATTGGTGATAATTTAGCTAAAGAATAATATAGATTATGTAACCATAATGTAAATTGTTTTAAATCTTAAACAAGTCAAATTTTAAAATTAAAAAGATAAACTTATCCTTAATTAGAAATTTTTATATTGAATAAAAATATTATAGTTTTAAAGACATATACGAGATCAAAATGACAAATAAATCTATAATTAACAAACCCGGACGTAGTCCATGATATCCTCTAGTTAGAATAAAATGTTGTAAATCTACTTAAAGAAATAAAGGTAAATTTATTTATGGAAAGATTTTCTAAATGATTTTGTTATGATTAATT